TGTTTGACAAACAAGAACAAAAGGTGGAGGATCAAAATGAGATTTTCTCACTATATAAGATAAGGCCTAGTTATTGGGTCCCACATTAGGGGCAGATAAGTGTGCATTATGCCTATATCAACATCATTATAGATGTAGGCTGGCTTTGAAAAACCACATTAAATCGTCGTGTTCTTGAAAAAGTCTTCATTGAACCAATTTTTGGGCCATCAACAAAACAAAGTTAAATGTGTAATGAGTATGCTTAAGTGCATCAAAATAAATTATAATGAAAATATAAACAAATTAAAAAAAACAATTGCTGTCATAATTATACAAACTGGGGCTGGAATTTGGACTGAAACCAATAGATCCAACCCATTAAAAAGTCCTAAGCTAGAAGGATGACTCAGCCCAAACAGATACTTTTTCAGAACAATTTTTTTTTATGCACAACCCATTTTACAGAAAGCAGCTACAAATGTCATGAGCCTGAGCTCTATCTAACTTTCTGGTTCAAAGCCCCAACTTCTCCAGTTTCTTCTGTTTCAGCTGAACAAGCCCTTTCACTCTGAGCATTGCTTGGATGGACTTTCTTCATCACCCGAAACAAACAACCACTAGGCTGACCAAGTTCAGATTCAGCTCTGCCCAGCTTGGCTCTTTCTTCTTCTTGCTCCATCTTCAGCTTCTTCTTGTGGAGGCCTCTGAGCACATATGCTTCAGCAAAACCATAACCTACCGTCGACATGGCCTAAAACATATAGGTTTTTTTGGTGTTCAAGTGAAGGAAGAAATGGGGTTTTTTGTAATTTGATGTGGTTTGGGGCTTGAGAAGTGAAGCATTTGGGTTTTCAGAGGGTGATGAGTGGTATTTATAAAGGTTTGGGTTGGCTTGGGGAGCAAGCAGACACGCTTTGCTTATGCCGGAAGGAAAGCTAACGTGATGTGACGAATATTGACAGTTTAGGTTTCTTTCTCGGTTGATCGTTGAATTTTATCTGTTTGTTTGGTGAGGTCTTTGGACTCTGTGGAGGCTAAGAAAAAATTGGTTTCTGGGCGGCAGGGGTATGACGTAGATGCGTGCGTGGTCAATTCCTTGTTAATTCCCGAGAGTTGGATGCGTCTGTATCGTATAGCCGCGCGGTTTAAAAGAAATTAAACCCTAGGCAAAACAAACAGCCGACACAAAGTTCCCCAGCCAAGTATCCAACCTCGACAGCCCCAAACCTTGCAGCCCCTTCACCTAAGCCACACACAACCTCCACCCTGTTGGCCCCTTATCTTCCATTACCACCTCCTTCTCTTCTTCCCGATCTCCCCTGAAATTTGGGTTTCATAATTGGAAGGGTTTCAATTTTGATGTCTTTCAATTGTGCTTCTGGGACTCATGCACCCAAAAACAAAAAACAAAAAAAAAAAAGCTTGAATCGGTTATTGAATGAATTGAAGGGTCTTGAGGTAGTTTGCATTCTGAGGGAATTTCAAGGACGGGAAGAGGTGGGTGCTGCTGCGTAGGGAGGAGGTCAGCGAAGGGGAAGAAAGATATATTGGGTTTCTGGGATTTTTTACTGGTATATGGTTTTCCTTCGTGATCTTTCAACTGGGTTTCTGGATTCAATTCTATACTGGTTTTTCACTGGTATATGGTGATTTTGTTAATTCCGGAGATGCGTGTGGGTAGTATAGCCGCGCGGCTATACTATTTTTATTATAAAAAAATCCAATCATAGTCGCGCGGCGATGCTATTTTTATTATAAAAAAATCCAGGTATAGCCCAAGTTAATCACGTGACATCACGTGCATCTTGCACGTGATATATCAGGAAACACGAGCACCTGGAGTACCTTTCCTTTTAATGTTGAGATGATTTTTGTGAATTTAATTATAATTTGATGAATATCATGAGCGGATGGGAAATTAGTAAAAAGTGAAAAAGTGGTTTTGCATAATGCATGTGATTTGATTTTACATGAGAAAATGACATCTTTTAGGTCCTACTAATTTTAGTAATATACTTAATTAATCAAATAGTAATCAATCAATGTGTGTGTGCAAAAGTCAATTTGATGATGCCATTCCAAATTCATGAGCATATAAATCACTAATTACATCAAGAGTCACACACATAGGCTATAGGCCTGAGTCTCCTAGTTCTTCTTAGAAGTGACAGAGAGAGATTGTGAGAATAATTTTAGGTTAATTATTGATATATTCGTATAAATATGACCTTTAAAACTTCGTTTTATTTTCAGTCTCATTTCATCTTCTAAAATTCAATTTGTCTTATTTAATCCTCCAAACTTGAATTTAGTGTCTCATTTTGCATTAACTCTTATTTAAAAATCTAATAAGTATTCTGAAGTGACATGAATACACTCCGAGGCATATTAATAATTAAGCCCTAGATGTTACTTGTTTGACAAACAAGAACAAAAGGTGGAAGATCAAAATCATATTTTCTCACTATATATGATAAGGCCTAGTCATTGGGTCCCACATTGGGGGCAGATAAGTGTGCATTATGCCTATATCAACATCATCATTATGTATGTAGGCTGGCTTTGAAACCACATTAAATCGTTCGTGTTCTTGAAAGTCTTCATTGAACCAATTTTTGGGCCATCAACAAAACAAAGTTAAATGTGTAATGAGTATGCTTAAGTGCATCAAAATAAAAAGTCTTAGGCTAAAAGCATGACTCAGCCCAAACATATACTTTTTCAGAACAATTTTTTTTTATGCACAACCCATTTTACAGAAAGCAGCTACAAATGTCATGAGCCTGAGCTCTATCTAACTTTTTGGTTCAAAGCCCCAACTTCTCCAGTTTCTTCTGTTTCAGCTGAACAAGCCCTTTCACTTTGAGCATTGCTTGGATGGACTTTCTTCATCACCCGAAACAAACAACCACTAGGCTGACCAAGTTCAGATTCAGCTCTGCCCAGCTTGGCTCTTTCTTCTTCTTGCTCCATCTTCAGCTTCTTCTTGTGGAGGCCTCTGAGCACATATGCTTCAGCAAAACCATAACCTACCGTCGACATGGCCTAAAACATATAGGTTTTTTTGGTGTTCAAGTGAAGGAATAAATGGGGTTTTTTCTAATTTGATGTGGTTTGGGGCTTGAGAAGTGAAGCATTTGGGTTTTCAGAGGGTGATGAGTGGTATTTATAAAGGTTTGGGTTGGCTTGGGGAGCAAGCAGACACGCTTTGCTTATGCCGGAAGGAAAGCTAACGTGATGTGACGAATATTGACAGTTTAGGTTTCTTTCTCGGTTGATCATTGAATTTTATCTGTTTGTTTGGTGAGGCCTTTGGACTCTGTGGAGGGAAAGAAAAAATTGGTTTCTGGGCGGTAGAGGTATGACGTAGATGCGTGCATGGTTAACTCCTTGTTAATTCGCAAAGTATTATAGCCGTGCGGCTATACTATTTTATTATAACAAATTGCGAGTATAGCCTTATAAAAAATAAAATAAAAACCTGCCTGCGGGCATTTTGCCACGTGTCGAAAATAGTATAGCCGGGCGGCTATACGTTTTATATATTACAAAGGGACAACCCGCTGGCCCGTATTGCCCACTTCGCCACATGTCAAAAATAGTATAGCCGCATGGGTATACTAATTTTTTATAAAAAAACTAGGGGTGGGCATCGGGACCGGAAAACAAGAACACCAAACTGAACAGGTGAAAAAAAACCGAAAAAAAAACCGGTTGACCAAAAGAGTCAACAAGCTGGACCAAAATCGGACCGAACCGATTCCAACTGGTTCCGATTCTGGTTTTACACCGCACCACACCAAACCGGATCGAACCGGTCATATTTTTTTTTTTTTTTTTTTACAAAATTTTGAAATCTAATGCCATATTTTAAATTTTATAATCACTATTTTTCCAAGTTCAACTTCAAAAAATTTCTAAAGGTATGAATTGGATTATTTGTTAATTTTTAAGCCAAAAAATAAAAAGTTATTTATTATAATTTTTTTTTGGAAAAAAAATTAATAATCCGGTTTTGAAATTTTTTTTGCCTAAACCGGACCGAATTGGTCCGGTTAAATAGTACCAGTTTCGATTCCGGTTTGAGGTAAGAACCGGGCCGAGCCCACCCCTAACAAAAACCATAGACTAGCCGGCCGGCTATTATTTTTATTATAAAAAATCTAAGTATAGCCACCCGGCTATACAATTTATAAATAAAAAAAGAGGACCGCCTGCTCCCATTTCGCACCTCGAGCATAGCCGAACGGCTACACTATTTATAATTAAAAAAGGACCACCCGCTTGGCCCCTAGCGACGCTTCGCCACATGTCAAAAATAGTATAGCCGCATGAATATACTCTTACAAAAACCCACCTGCCTCTAGTTTCGCCACGTGTCAAAAAAATAGTTGTGCGGCTATACGGTATTTTTATTATTATTTTTAAATGTAGCATAGAGACTATTTACAACAAATGAAGAGGACCGGGCTAAAAACAATATAGTCGCGCGGCTATACATTTTTTAATATATAATAAAAAAACCTTTCATTTTCCGGTAAACAAACTCATATTTAACTATGTAATTATTTTATACGGAAAGCAAGTAAGAATGATACAAAACAAAATCAAAAGGTATCGCCCTAAACAGCCCATTTCTGATAGTACTGTTTAAGGTCAACAATTATATGAAACATCATGATATACCTTCCTTGATTCATCATCACATAACAGAGCAAGCATTTACGTGGAGCCTCTGGATACAGGGACTATCGAAACAAATTACTTAGAATCATGCAAAAATCAAAGGGCAAATTTGTATAACAGAAAATAGAAAGCAACCAAATGATGAAGAACAAGATTATAAGATGCACGTCAGAAAACTTAAAACAAAAGAAAGAACCAAGAATAAGATTGCAAAACTTCAATTCAGCTTAAAAAATGCTTTAATTAATAAACTGGGCGTGTACAGAACGACTCGCAGTCCTCCATATATCGCCATAATAAGAAAAGATGAAAAAAAAAAAAAAAAAATCCAGTTAACAAAAAGAGTAATTAAAAAAAAATGCTAGGGTAATTACCAGCAAATACAAGTGTAACATTGCTGAGTATATCAAATACAAATAATCCAACTTTAATAAATAAAAGTTTAGTACTTCAATTCAAGTTATCTACTAGCAGCTAGTTCCTCCACCATGGGCATGCTGCGGTAATCTAGGAACTGGAGTCGGCCACCATGGGAGCTCAACTGGCCAATAGTCACCATTACGAACTGGACACCGTCTAACTATCCTAGACCACTTTTTTGTATGAATATTGCACTTGATAATATCTCCGTCCACACGCAGATACAAAATATCCTTATTATTTGGGTCAAAAGCCTGCATTTCGCACGTAAATGGACCATCTGGATACATTTTTGGGTCCAACTGATATACCTGTGGTTAGTTAAACACAATCTGCCAGCAGCTCCATCGACCATCCGATCATGATCTTGTTCTTTCAACTCACAGAGTTTTGGTAGCCTCCTTAAAGTCACACATCCGGACACATCCTCCGAACATACCTAGGTACTCAACTACAAAACGTCCATTTAGAGGCTCCTCAAATACAGTCAAATGAAGTTTATGATCAATAACGCCATCACCATTACCGCTACTACTACTACTAGTTGTCGTGTTATTGTCGTTGAAGGGACCCAAACCAACAAAAAGAAGGTCTTCGTCACTTGTCCAATATAACATCCCATTGTATGCAAAGGATATATCTTCAAGGTCATCAAAATCAAAGTATCGTGGGGAAGCCACAACTGATTCTCTTCATTCACCAGTCTCAGAAGAGAAGATCTCCACGCTTAATTTTAAGGAATCACATTTGTCATCATTTGCAGATTCATCAGGAGGAAGAATTCTCACAACGTTGCACACACACTTAGCATTAAGCTGGATGTTATGCCCTTTCCAATCTTCTTTCTTAGAATTATAGTAGGGAATATCACAGATGAATCCCACTAGTACCCTATCGTGGCATCGACCTGGGGTGGGAGGAAGAGCAACCCATTGCATGGTGTATGCATTGCAGATGTAGTAATTGCGTTGATAATCCTCAGTTGCGCAGCACAAAACTAAGTCATTATACGTTGCTACCACAACTGGCCCTTTTCTCAAAGAGTGGAAACTCATTATTTGTTTGAACACTGGGGTTAGTAACTTGGATGACCATGGCATTTTAGGAGGGAATTCCTCTCCTTTTTGACTTATTAGAGTGCACATCTTTGGAGTTTTCCTATAACCTTGGATATGCACAAAGCGGCCAATAAAATAAGGATCTGAGATGAGTGTGCGCCAACGCTTGGACACACACTGGCATTGAAACACAAATTTACTTGATGGAAGTCGGCAAAGGATTTCAACCAATGCCGTGTCAGGGAGATCATCAATTGATGATGGTCTTCTTTCTGCTGGTGATGATCTCTTTGATCTTTTTAACTGACTAGAGGTTGGCAATCCAAGAGATGACTGGGATCTCTTCCTTCCTTTGGTAGGAGTATCACAATTAATCAACCTGAGCCATGCAATATATATTCTACACATAATGTATGCCCTCTAAAAAAATGCTGTGTGGAATTGACATATTAAGGGGAAAAAAAAATCAAACAGTCATGTTTAACCTTGTTACTAGATATGGCGATGATGTTAGCTCATCAAGAGCCAAGTACCAAGGGATATAGGAAGGTATAATGACTAACATGGTTTTCTTTCTTTATGTATCCTTGTTCACTAAAGTGATATACTATTTTCTCATCCTCTTCTGTTTTCAAAAGGTTTTAGCTGTTTTTTCAACAAAATTAAAGCTACACCAAAAGTACAACTGTGTTCAACAACTAGCTTCCGACAAAAAACCTAAATCTAAATGTTGGAAACCTGGGTCTGAAGAATTTCATAAATAAATGAGGCATCGATCAATATGAATGCTCCTAAAAATAATTATCCCTAGAAGCCATAGAAAACTGATAATTCTAATCTGTTTTCAATTCTAGGAATATAAATTGTGTAATTAGAAAGAAACCTGCATTGAATGTCCTCCTCGAATTGCTTCTACTTAAGAAATCCAGATGCAAGCTTCATGGAAGCCCTGCCGCATTCAATTTCCTGCTCAGAGCTCATAAGAGTATTGGAGGACAATGTTCTGTTCTTGTTGCTCAACTCTGATATCTTTGCAGATCCAGCAACACGTTTGGCATCACGAGATGTCTGAATTCCTGCAAGATTCATTTATCATCATAAAACAAGAGTCTAATTACCTTGGCCATCAAAACTTCAAAGTTGATGCATACATACCATGGCCATAACAATTAAAGCATCATCAGTCTAAGGAAAAAGCTCTTACTTTACTTTGTACATATGATTTTCAAGAGCAGCAGCAACTCATGTGATTATCAATAGCAGCAATAAACATATTAGTTCCAAAGACTGTTGCTTTCTGACCATAACTAGCTAATTTCCAATAAGACCCATTAACATATGACCATTCTATCATGTTAACCACTAACTCTAATCACCAGTAACAAAATTACATAACGGTCATGAAACTAGATTCGAAAAAGGGATCTAAATGCCACAAATTGGAGAAATTAAAAAGTTCCTTACCATTGTCGGCAATTCTGTTCCGATTGAAGCTTGTGCAATCATTAAGGGTCGGTTTCAAGCATTGGTCCGCGATGGGAGCCGGCTCAGGAGGAGTTGACTGCGCGGCCCAGAATTGATTGAGGAGGCGGTTTTCCGATTCACCCATAAGAAAAGAAATAAATAAAAATACTGAGAGAGATAAAATTGAGTTTGGAAAAAAGAAATTAGAATGGGGTTTCTCGCGGCTGGAAGGGCCTTTTATAGTGGAGGAGGTGCCGTTGGCTCCTTTTTTGTGTGTGTTTCCTTTGGGGTTTGGGATTGTTTTGTGTTTCCTTTATAGCAACTTCACCCATTTGCCCTTAGTCATGGCAAGGGGGAGTTAGGGCAGCCACTATTCATGTGAATAGTGGTTGCCCTTGCAAATCAGAATTGTGTGTTTCCACCCGTTGCCCTTGCTAAGGGCAGTTACTATTCATTTTTTTGTTTTATTCACAAATTTTTTTACCTCAATAATTAATTTGGATAATATTTTCGGATAAGATTTCTGAGTTCCTACGTGTCAAGACTATTCATAATCAGATAAAATTTCGGGATAAGATTCTTGGGTTCAAATTTCGGATGAATTTCAAAATTCAAATTTCAGATAAATTTTTGGGTTCAAATTTCGAATGAATTTCAAAATTCAAATTTCGGATGAATTTCAAATTTCAGATAAAATTTTCATCCAATCAAATCAAGCCACGCGACATCTATATCTTGCCAAATTTTTCTATAAAACCAGAGGCTCACCTCATACCTCTCACACCACATCTTTCAATATTTTCATTTCTTAGAGTTTATAATTTACACTCCATTCATTCTCAATGGAAGAATATAGGAGATGCTTGGAGAGGCAAGAGAGAGAAAGAAATGAGAGAAACCGTAGAGCCGATGAAATCAATGAGTTGCAGAGGCAAGTCGATGAACAAGTTCTCATAGCAGTGGCAATGGAAGATGAAGAGAACCAAGGTCGCCGCCGTGGTTCATAAGTCGGCCGTCGCCGGAATGTAGACAGACATAAGCATTCTCGGGGTAAGAATCTTTTGGAAGATTATTTTATCCCAACTGCTTTGTACTCTGATGTTGATTTTCGAAGGCGATTTAGAATGCAACCTCATTTGTTCAATAAAGTCATGCATGATATTTGCAATTATGATGCATACTTTGTTCAAAAGTGTGATGCTACTGGGGTTTTGGGCCTTCTTCCGGAGCAAAAGCTTACATGGGGAAGTCCACTACGTTGGAGGCTTTGGTAAGATTTTGTGATGCAGTTGAAAATCTGTACACTAGGGACTACCTGCATAGACCTACTCCCAGGGACCTCCAACGGCTTCTACAAAAAGCCGAAGCTCGAGGATTTCCAGGAATGATTGGTAGCATCGACTACATGCATTGGCAATGGAAGAATTGCCCAACTGCCTGGCAAGGTGATTACGGAAATAGAAAATGCACAAAAAGTATCATCCTGGAAGCCGTTGCTGGCTTCGACACATGGGTTTGGCATGCTTTCTTCGGAGTTGCCGGAGCCCAAAATGACCTCAACGTCCTGGGTCAATCTCCGATCTTCAACGATGTTTTGAGCGGCCAAGGCCCCAATATTACCTATCAAGTCAACAATACAGTCTACCAGACGGGGTATTATCTATCTGACGGTATCTACCGAAGGTGGACTACATTTGTCAAATCCATTCCGAATCCCCGATCCCATAAGCATTTGCTACCTATCAAGAAGGATACAGGAAAGATGTCGAAAGATGTTTTGGTATCCTTAAAGCTCGGTGGTTGATTATTCGAGGTGCAGCCCGTATGTTTGATGAGGAGATCCTCAGAAGCATTATGATGACTTGCATCATCCTCCATAATATGATTGTGGAGGATGAGTACGATTATGATGCTTTAGAGGTCTACGAACCGGATTCAATGAACACGGCCTTGACCCGGATTTATGAAAGGTCCATAGGGCCAAATGGAAAACCGTTTGAGCTGGAACCGTTGGTGAGGGACGATCATATGATGACCCGGATGATAGATTGATATACAGAGATACAATCTTCGTATATTCATGAAAGCCGTCAACTTGACTTGATAGAGCATATATGGGCGGTGAAAGGGAATGAAGATGAATGATGGAGCATAAATGCTTTGGTTATGTTTTATTTACTTATGGTTTGGTTGTGTTGTTTACTATTGCTTATGGTTTGGTTGTGTTGTTTTTTTATTTATTATTGTGCCTTGTTTGTAGTTTTTGTTTTAATTTTAATTATGTTTTGTTTGATGTATGGAATATGTTGAATAAAATTGTCTTTTATTGAATGCTTT